TACCTAGAGAGACCCGCGTTACCCTGGCTCAGTTACGGTCTGGATATTGTAGCCGCCTAAGCAGCTACCTGTCCAGACTCGACCCAAACATCCCAAATGAGTGCCCGGCATGTGGAGACTCCCCCCAAGACACCAACCACCTCTGCACATGCCAGCTCAATCCGACTCAACTAACACCTCACTCCCTTTGGTCCGACCCCATCGAAACAGCTCGTTTCCTGGGCCTACCGTTAGTTGAGCTTGACGATAATGATTAAAAGTTGACCCGAAACAGGCGGGGCTTAGTAGTGCCGCTACAACAACAACAACAACATCTGATAATTTGCCGTAAATTATCCGTTGTTTATCCGTGAAAAGAATTATCTTGCCGCGGAAACATTTTAAAAAATATCGTGGAAGTTAGCAGGGAAGTTAGCAGGGCACTCGATATTTTTTAAAATATGTCCGCGGCAAAATTATTCTTTTCACGGATAATTTACGGATAATTAACGGCAAAATTATGCGATAGGAATTTTTGCTTTGAGAAAAAGTTGTCCTGCCAAGTTCAGAGAGGTAAGATATAAGAGGTTTATTCGTTTTGCTTACTTATATTTTTTATTATCACTTAATTCTTAAAACCCAAAAGTAGATCATGATAAAATATGTATATCGAATTAAAGATAATAGCTTGTACTTTCTAAATAATATAAATTTCTTTACCATTAATCATGCAGTTTTTTCAAAAAAGGTTATTTCATGAAAAAATAACATATGTTCGTTTTTTAGTGGTTTTGGTTTAAATATATAAAAAACAATTTCAATTATGTATATCAGCTGAAAGATAAATTGATTATCTTTAGGGTGACGTTATTAGTTTTTTAATCGGTTATGTGGTTCATAAGATATTAATATTTAAAAAAAATCAAAGAATTGAATTGTAACCTTAGAAGGTTTATATTTTACTTGCGCTAAATTGACACGGTTGAAATGAGCGTAAAAAGTTCTTTTGATCTGCATTTATTGTTTTTGCATAGCTGAACGATCTCAGTATTCTAGTTTTATTCCAGGAAATGACGAATAACTTAAATTAAAAATCTATTATTTTACGTATTGCTTGGTATTTCCATTAAAACACCTAATATATTGCAAATTCACATATAATTAATAATACANAGAAGGTTTATATTTTACTTGCGCTAAATTGACACGGTTGAAATGAGCGTAAAAAGTTCTTTTGATCTGCATTTATTGTTTTTGCATAGCTGAACGGTCAGTATTCTAGTTTTATTCCAGGAAATGACGAATAACTTAAATTAAAAATCTATTATTTTACGTATTGCTTGGTATTTCCATTAAAACACCTAATATATTGCAAATTCACATATAATTAATAATACACATTTCACTTCTAATTGTATACTTAGTACCTTTCTTAGTACCTTTCTACTACCGTTTTCGCAAAAGGCGATCAAATTTTAGCTGTCACAAATTACATAACCTTGTGTTATTGAATCATGCACATAGCCGATATTTTTTTTAATTTTTAGAAGTTCATCCAAGTAGAATTCCTTCGTAAAGTTTTAGCCCGTAAAGTATGAACCAGTTATTATTGGTATTGATTCTTATTTTAACAACTTTTTTGTATTAAATTTATAATATTTATGAATGTACTCCGAGCGACTGTCTGATACCAAATGTACATTTACCACATTCCTGTCGAATCTCCCTTACTTTAACANTTTAATTTTTAGAAGTTCATCCAAGTAGAATTCCTTCGTAAAGTTTTAGCCGGTAAAGTATGAACCAGTTATTATTGGTATTGATTCTTATTTTAACAACTTTTTTTGTATTAAATTTATAATGTTTATGAATGTACTCCGAGCGACTGTCTGGTACCAAATGTACATTTACCACATTCCTGTCGAATCTCCCTTACTTTAACAAAGGCGTGACAGACATGCTTCTGAGCCGGTTTACAAAGTAAGTTATGTAGAATGTAAAGCAGTCGCTCGGAGTAGTGCGGCGCTTGGAAATAACTTCGGCGGCACGTTATTTTGCAACTGACAGCGTAATACTTAATTTTTAGAGGTTCTCCAAATAGATGCATGTAGATAAGTTTTGAAACTTACCTTCTTTTTCAGCAGCTGTTAGTTCAGCAGCAGCGGCTGTGGCATTTGCAGTATTTTCAGCTGGATGCACCATTTTTATTATGCTTTTATTTTCTTTGATTGAAGAGCTTTCGAAAATCGATTTGAATTTAAAAATATACGCCTATTATTATTTGAAATTAACTTTCTCCTTTGAGTTTAAAAATTTGACTGGAATTTTTTTGAATTGATGCAATAATTAAAATTTTCAGGTGCCGTGCTGTTCGCTTTGCGGGTGAAAGAGGCTGAAAGAGAGAAAAATATTGCAATTAAATTGTTGAAGAAAAAATTACTTAAATACGCCCAATTATGTATGTATGTACATAGGACAAAATGTCCGCTTAGAATTGACAATGCAAGTACTTTTTTTTATTATTTTTNTCAATTATGTATATAGGATAAAATGTCCGCTTAGAATTGACAATGCAAGTACTTTTTTTTATTATTTTTGAATAACGAAAACAATAATTTATTTATTTTTCGTAATTCGAATAAATTTTGTCCAATTCTGACTTCAAACTTGATCTTGGCGATCGTTATTGCGCTGAGTAATATTTCCACTATTCTGTGAGGCACAGTCAGTATGTTAAAAACCAAGTAGGAAAGAAAAGTTGGAATAACAATGTAATCAATTGTTGTCGCTCTTTGTTTTGTATACGTCATTGTTGTTGTTGTCGTATGTACATGAGCGGAGTTTGCTGCATATGCCTTTGTTCTTTACTCCATTGCATCTGCCGCTGTGCTTATAGGGCACCATGAGCCAGCGAAATTGGAGGAGCTGCGAGATGAAGAACAAGCGAACATATCCATATACAGCAAGACCTATATGTAGTTAAAACTTAACCGAATAGGGAGGACAGTAAATTATGTACAGAGTGTGTACCAAGTATTTACATATCTACATACGGACGTAGGTACCTTAGGGTGGTCCGTAAGTGTAGGAAGCAAGTTTTTACATCAGATTTCCTAAGCCTCAACCCCTACGTCGATGCTACTATAGTCGAAGATATCACATATAAATTTTGGTTCCAAATTTTGTATTCATCTATAGAGACCCAAAAAATTATAATTAAATTTTTTTTGCCAACTCATACCCCAAATTGATACTACTAAGTCTCTGAAAATGTTACTAGATCACAAAATTCTTATATTTAATTTTTAATGTTTATTGTGAATTAGTTTTAAGTTTATGATTTTTTTTAGTAAAATTTTGTCGTAGTCATTTGTCCACAATTTGGTAGCCACTTTGTATGAAATACGACAAAATTTTATAAAAATTTCTACTAAATTAACGACATTTTTAAGAATATTGATTAATTTAATATGACTGCATCACTAGCTAAATTTTTACTAAATTATCGAAAACATTTTAATCAATATCTGGAAAACTAAAGGACATATCTAAAAACTGATAACACCAATCGAAAGACCTTATGTTAATATATACATATAACTGCACCTATAACTAAAAATCATTAAAATTGCGCTTACGACAATCTTTTACGCAGGCGACGATATATATTCGACTACGGTACTATCGATTTTGGGTGTGTTGGCAAAAAAAATTAATGTTAATTTTTTTGTCCCTATGTAGAGGGATCCGAACTTTGGCCCCTGTGCGACACGCCTTAACACTCTCCAGTCGGCACCAAAATTTATATGTGACATCTGTGGCCGTGGTATTATCGATTGAAGGAGTGGCACCGAAAAAATCGCTCATCTGATTTTTAAAGGTCCACCCTAATGTACATATCCACATAGGAACGGCTAGAAGGTGCAAATAAAACAAGAACACCAAAGGAATTTAATAAAGTCAAACCTGTTTTTCTTTCAAGTACCTATGTATGTATGTATGTACATACATGAGAAAAGCCCGAAAATTTTAGGGATAAAATACAAAGAAAATTGTATATGGTACCTTTAATATAAAGCTTTTCATATACCATATGTACATATGTATATACATAAATGGAATAGAATTAATATATTTGATAAACTATCCGATGTTTTGTCTATAATTATTAGTAAAACACAAATTTTGCTTAATTTAAACAAATATTTTTGAAGTAGGTAATCAACCGGCCAAATATAGAACATTAAGCATTAGTGACAAAAAAAAACAGCTACAACTATTAAGGCTCAAACGAGCCTTTCATTATGATGTGTTTTGTAACAGCAAACAGATTGCCCCGAGAGTCTGTGGGAAGTGTTGCTGGAGTGACATTCCTTCGCCAGATATAAATCTGGGTCGTTCCGGTTACGTAGACCCGACTGTGTAGATTACATGCGTGATAAATAATGTAATGTATGTATTTCTTATGAGTTCTAGATTCGATTAGAATTTAATATGTAATCTGCATTCTAATGTATCCAAAAACTCGCAAAAAATTCATATTAAATCACATTCATTCCTGCATTACTGGTAATTCAAAATTGGATGCCCCACTTTTCTTAGGACATCGCCTGGGAAAAATAATGCATTTTCGAATGTGAAAACGGCTGTTTTACTGGTTATTTTTTCGTTTACCACACATTACATTTCCACTGGGATAATTGTATGTACGTACATATACATATACGCATATAATACGTATAAACATATTTATGTAAATATATATACATTAGGGTGGTTCTTAAAAAATCGAAGAAAGGCTTTTTTTAGGTCTCACCCCCTCAATCGGTAATACCACTGTCACAGATATCACATATGAGTTTTGGTCCCGATTGGAGACGGTTAATGCGTGTCGCGCAGGGGCAAAGTACAGATTTCTCTATTGACCCAAAAAATTAAAATGGATTTTTTTTATCTAATACTCAAAATCGATACTACCGTAGTAGAGGTTATCACATATAAATTTTAGTTCTGATTGGAGTCGGTTAAAGAGTGTCGCAAAGGGGGCCGAACTTGTTTTTTCTTTTTTTAATTAACTTTTTTATTATTTATTCAAAATCGCCCGATATCTAATTTGGCATAATTTCTTTTATTAAATAATCCCACGGTTTCTGTTAGTTGGGTCATATTCCACTTCAAACTGCTCAGTTNTATACATTTGTTAAAAAGAAATTTTTTTTTTTATAAAAACTTGTTTTTTCTTTTTTTAATTAACTTTTTTATTATTTATTCAAAATCGCCCGATATCTAATTTGGCATAATTTCTTTTATTAAATAATCCCACGGTTTCTGTTAGTTGGGTCATATTCCACTTCAAACTGCTCAGTTTGCCTAAGAAAATTCTGTTTTCCCCCTTTTTCAAACGGTTCCCTAGGGGCCTGTGGGAGGAGCCCAAGGGAGAATACGCCTTTTTAGAAAGCGGGGACTGTCCCCTTTCTAGTGGGGAGGGTTTGGGGGGCTCCGCCCCTCGCCCCTCCGCCCCCACCCTAAAAACGATGTGAGCGCTACTAAACATTTCCCGCGTGAACTGTTGTTTACAAGTGTGTGTAAAAGGTTTTTGATTCGATTCACGCGTTTGGGCACAGCAACCCAAAATCGTTGTACAAATTCATAGAGTACCTTTTTTTCATTTAATGCCCAAAATCGATACTTCTAAAGTCGAATTCCGATTGGAGTCGGTTCATTGGGTAATCTGAACTTAGCCCCCAGTGCGACACGCCTCAATCGTCTGCAATCGGGACCAAAATTTATATGTGATATCTTCGACTACAGTAGCATCGACGTAGGGGTTGAGGCTTGGGAAATCTGATGTAAAAATTACCTTCCTACATTTAAGGACCACCCTAATATACAAATACACACATCTATACATATATTATATACAAGAATGCATTAAATACATATAAAGAATATGCATGTATGTTTATGAAATGTACATAAATCTGAACCGCAAACATATTTTCTGTGGTACAGGTTTAAAATTTAGAAAATTAAATAAATATTGTAGCTAAATTTCACTATGACTTTGCATGGAATTAATTGTTTTTGGCAACAAAATGCAGTTTTTCCACAGCTACATATGCATGCAGCAAGATGGCCGACTAGAATATGTATTTCGTACTTACACAAAACTGTAGTTAATCCAATGGGAAAAATTCTAATTAGCCGCAAAAACTGCTTCCAAAATAAAATTTTCGCAAATCGCGCACTCAAAATGTAGAAAGAATTGATATTTTATGCAACAAATCCTGCAGCACTTTGTTTGCTATACTTGTTTTTTCTGACGCATATACTTTAACCACTTTGAAATGCTAAAACTCTTTAACAACGTGCAGAAAATTCACTAAACGCACTGTGTGAACTGCGACCAACACTAGCTAGACTCGATATTAATTCAATTTCAACTGTAATGTTTATTTAAACTTATTATTTCAACTAAAAACTGAAATTTAAGCGAACTAATTACTCCGACCAGCAAACGCGCGAAAATCCAACGACAAAGTAAATTTGACGAGTCGGTTGCGCAGACATTTTATATGAGCAGAGAATGATGGTAAAAATTGCAAAAACACAAATACTGGAACAAAAACAGCAAACACAACAAAGACAATTAAAAAAAGTTTGATCTGTGCGGCGAAAATGGGAAGCAAAAGAGCGAAATAACAATACCAACGACAGAAAGCAAGTTAACGAGTGCATTTGTTGTTGCCGATAGAGCGCCGTACAAAGTTGCCAGCGTCCTGCAGATTTCAAGAAATTCGCTTTTAAAGCTGATGTCAGATAAAACTTTGTGGCGTGTTTGTTTACTCATTTCCAGTAAATGGTTTTTACGAATTTTCATGTTTCGGTGTTTTCGTACGCAAAAACTTCCACAGTACGGGAAATTGACAGCGGAAGTTGCAAGTTTTTACTGGATAAATTTTTATCAGTACGAAAAACAGCTGATTGTCAAAGCGCGCAAAAAGATGGGAGTTGCCCATCATTTCGCTTCGCGCTGCAGCTGCAACGATATATGTGGCATGCTTTGTGCATTTTCATACAATCCATCTTATCTGTCAAAGCGAATCTGTCACGCAAAGCGAAACAAGCGTTTCATCTGGCATCAGCTTAATTGTTGTACCTTTCATCGCAAGCGATCGTTTTGTTAATTAACAAAACTTCTAACTTATTTCTAGCTTCTTTTTGAGCTATTTATTTATCAAAATTCATTCTTAAGTATTTAGAACATTTTTTACAAGAACGATAGAGTAAAAGGCTGCCCATTCCCGGCAGCGATGACAAACAAAGCCGAATAGTATGATAAAAGGAAATGTCCAAACAGTCAATTTACTTCAAAATAAATTTTTCCATAGCGAACGTGGTTTCATTTTGTTAGATAAATTTTCATGACGCAATAAACAAGTGAAGTTATAAAACAGCTTTATCTCTTTATTTTCTGACATTTGACTACCTTATAGACAAATTTTATAGGCAATTTTCAAATAAGGCAATCTTTCTTCTCATATACGATTTATAAACAGATTTGCCAAAGAAAATGTTAAAAACGGAGATTTTCGTGATAGTATCAGTAAATTTTTAATGCATTTAAAGTTTCTGAGCCGTTGTTTACTTTTACTTGAGAATTGTAAAAATCAGGTACACCAAAGTGCGGCATACGGAATGCTCCACATTTGTTTTCTACACCGTGCATTTAAGAGTTGGCAACACTAAGCCGCTGGCCTTTCGTTGATCTTCAACTTCGTCGACTAGGGTAGGCGAATGTACAAAGAAAAACAAAAACAAAGCAGCTGGAACCAAATAAAAAGCAAAGTAAACAAAACAACGAAATGCAGATAGTGCTAAGCATTGGGACTCCACACCTATCGTACTAGATTTACTGCGATTTTTGAGAAAAATCTACTCGATTTTACTTTGAAAATAATTAAGTACACCTACTGAAGTATTTGAAAAAATTCCAGAAGTTAAATTATCTTAGTTTATAAAACGTACAGATGCAGTTACTTATAATAAATGTATGCAACTTGATCATTCTTATACCATTTTCCCACGGTGTCCTGAATTACTTTGTTCGCTCCCACAATTACGATCGCGTATTACCCCATTCCCACGAGCACATTCTTAAATCGATTTGACAGTTCCCTGTCTCTGTGTTTTGTTTTTGTTTTCTTCGCTGCATAATTGATGCAAAAGGTATAAATTTATAAGTCTCAGTAATAAATTAGAGATATACACATTTATAAACTTTACTTCTCGTTCTCGAAAAAAATGCAAGTTAAAACGTGAATATGGTTGAAAAGGAAGTTGAAATACCTTTCATTCAGTATGTATATCTAAATAAATAATATATTTTTGAAAATGTTCAAAATTCCACTTTGGCCCCTTGTGCCTCTCGCCCCTTTTAATTTGCAGCAAAACAAAATTCATATCAGCACGCCCACTTTTTCTTTTTTTCTAGCTCATCGAGCTTATTCTTTACTTTTACCAAAATCAAAAATATTTGTGCTGCCATTTTTGTAAATATTTCCTTTTTTGTGCCATAGAAAAGATAAAAGTTACTTACGTTCACTAGAATATACTACACTTGTTGGAAATAAAAGACGAGTATAAATAGGTATAATTGCAGAGAATTGAAAGATAAAGGCTGAATTTCTTTATTCATTCTGAACGTTTGGAATAAACTTTTTTGTTTACTTATTCTTTAGAACGTTCCTGATGATATGTTAACGTATATTTCAAACGTATTCTGTTTATTCCGGCTGTGAAATGGGATTATCCGGAATGTATAAAGAAACGCAGCCAATGCGATGTATTTTTTAACAACATAAAAGGTCGGCAATAAAAAAGTCGGAATTTTTGAATATTTAATTTAAAAAAGACCGATATATTTCGGTTATGACGTTGTACCAGTAAACGCGCGATATATAAAGAATCTACTGCGGCTTTCAGTCCGATTTAGGCTAGCAGGAGTTCTAACCCTGATGGTGCCGCAAAAATTGAGAGAATTTGCTTTTGTTGATTGAAATTTGCAAATACAAAGCATTGCTCTGAGAGAAATCAGACGAAACTTTAAATTTTTTTGGATGTCAACGGAAATTATTTAAAAATAAGAGTGGGTAAGGCAGTTCATATTTAAAGTAGTGTTCAAAACTCTTTGCAATGCAAACAATTGTTACATACATTTAAATGTAGATATGTATGCACATATATTTACATATTTTTATGTATACGTATACCCACCAAAAATTGGCATAAGCAGAAATAAGAAATACGGTATTCGCCGACATCGCTGCTGCAATGCACGATAAGGCGTATAATAAGGTAATGGTAGTCTATATTTTTTCTTATTATAAGGACTAATTTAAGCCCAATTTCGAATGGGCTTTTTGGGGTTACAACCACAACCCGGGTTCTGCCTCTAATAGCCGCAGCAATTAAAGATTTTATACCGGTTTTGAAGAGGTCGTTATACAGAGACATCTGCATCTGACATAACTCGACAGTTTTGACCTGCAGGCTTATGAGACTGAGATCATTGGGGTCTCTAAATTATGCTGCGCAAATGAGGTCCTCTTAATTTTAACAGGTTCCCTGTCCTCATGCAATAGATCTTTTTTCATGGCATACGTCCCACGTTCTTTTCAGGATTCTTTATCTGATTTGATATTATTTGCATATAAAAATATGCAAAGAGCGTAGATTATATGCCCTTATGCAAAAAAAAATAAAATATTTAATTTCTCATTTATAATACATAAAGGTGGGAAATAGTTTTCGATAAGGTACGTCCTATGTATCATATTCAATCCACAACAGTTTTATATGTTTCCACAGAAAAACACTATATTTTTTGCAAAATACCTACAAATATGTATCTAAAGTCAACATCGATTTTGCTCATATATGATGCATGGACTTGTGAGACAAGGTAAAAAACTGTTTCCATGAATCACATGTGATTCATTGGACAGGCAACCTGTTAATTTAAGAAGATATCTATCGGTTCTCATCATAAGATCAGCGCACTTTTCATGGCATACTCTGTACAATAACGTTAGATTTGAATTTCGGTTGGTTTTTCCGGGATATCAGGGGTGAGGGAACTGGCCATCTGTGATATCGACATTTTCGAGGACAAGATGTTCTGGAGAATCAAGGGTAGCCATAAGAGAATGCCCTTTAAGTGTATTCTAGTCCAGGTTTACGTCCCCTTTTTCCCAATCACTACCAGTTTTGTAAAATTTTCGTGGCAAAATTAACTAAATACCAAACTTGTTCTTATTCTTCAAAAAAAAAAAATTCTAGACCGCGCCTTGATCGAGTTTGCCCCATAGTAAAAACGAAGTATTCCTATACCCAGAAAATATCCTGTGAAAAATTGATGGTGACTTTTAGAGTTAAAATAAAGCCGTCAAGGCATAGCTTCTGTTGAGAAGACTTTGCTATACGATTTAAATAATCTGCCATGGGTATTTTGAAATGGAGGACATCGAAGAGAATTTTTAAGGGAAATAGGTTTTCCGTGAAGGTCGTCGAAAGAGCCATTGAACCTATTACAACATTTCTAGGAAGCGTTCGCGCAGTTGTTAATATACAGCAGAGGCTAGAAAGCTTTGACTATATGTCTTTTGTGCTCCGGCTGCAATGGAGTTGCTACACATTTTGGTGGATCTTGAGTTGAATCGGTCAGTTTTTGGACATTTTTTGAAAATATTCGCTTTGTCAATGGCATATAGTTTCCAAATTCGTTTAAAACTGACACGTTCCATCATGTTGGTGGAGATTATTTCGAATAAATTTGATAATGTGACAGTTATCGACAATGAAGTGGACCTTTTGCCGTTCTTTATGAAATATGGGACCTCTGGCGTTATTTGTAGCAAGTCACACGGGACAGTTGCTGCTTAAATTGTTTTTAAGCATTTCGAACAACGGAGTAGAAAATGACGTTCTTCCCTCTGGCAATGATGGCTTTAATCATAAAAAAACTTTTATTGCCGATAATATTTTCCCTGTTACCTTCTCCGTATATGTTTTAGATGATATATAATTGGGTTTTTGGGCCAAGGCCTTCTCTGACACATTAAAGGAATACATAGCGTTCAGTGTTGTTTTAACAAACGAAATAGAATGTTGACTTGCATCAGTTGATAAGCTCTACATATCTTTGCATGACTTGCGTTAGCGGAAATGCGTTCATCTTTATTCGTTTCTGGGTCAATTACAAAGTTTTGAGGCTCCTGCACCGGGCGGTACGCATGGCGAACGGAAAAAGTTCCTATACTTTTTTTTACAATATTTATATAAACATAGATCACACAAATAATTTCGGATGGCCCTAGTGTACATCCTAATGTATCTGTGGATTTTTAAAGCATTTGAACAAGAGCTATGAATCGAAAGCAACCCAACACTTACCAAGATGCAGAGTGGGAGGTGCATATTTTTTTAATAATTTTGGTCCTACTGCATCCATTTCGAAATGTTTCGCACACAGGAATGAACTTGTAAGAGGCAGGCCCCAA